AGAGCTGTTCTTGGAAAAGAGCCGTTTCTGGTAAAGTTCTCTCAGTCCCACCCACCTCACAGGATGTCCGCTGTAGGGAGGGGAAGGGAAAGGAGTTTGTAAGCCGCTCTGAGACTCCTTTGGGTAGTGAAGGGTGGGGTATAAATCCAATCTCTTCTCTTATTGCCCAGTTACTTATGCATCTTGACTCTTACTAGCCCATCTTGGCGACTCACCCCCTCCCTCCATATGTAAGGCTTGAGGAAATTTGTTCCACTGTATCTGAGGAAGTGTGCTTGCACACGAAAGCTCATACCCAGAATTAAACCTTGTTAGTCTTAAAGATGCCCCAGGACTCAAACTCTGTTCTGCTGATATTTATTAACATTCTTAAACATGAGCACATAGATATAGTGAGTTGTGTATATCTTTGCATCTTCTGGCATAGGCACGCATACTTTTGCAATTTCGCCTGCTCACGCATGTGTCAAAATGGTACATTTTTGCATAACTTGGAGAGTCACGGGTGAGCTCCCAGGCTTCTGGAGTCAACAACAAAATAAGAGGGAGAGAGGTTATAGATAACTCTCATAGCAAGACTTCAACGTTTAAGGTTAAAGCTCTGTTTAATACAAGGCCTTCTCATCTGTGCAGTCCTACTATGCACAAGCCCCCACCTTCCCCCCCAAAACCGGAGCTTTTTGACGGGCATTCAATCCATTCTGGCCCCCCTGTCCTGTCCACAGCACTGTTTATGACCTTTTTCCAGTGTCCTACTGTGCCGGATACCATCTGGACACTGGCGTTTCATATGGTAATTATTTCATAATGCATGGGTTTGGTTGATCTGCTATTGCTATTTATTGTTTTTCTGTTTTTATTCCTTGCTTATTTTACGTTGTGAGCTGCCCTGAGCCCATTTTTTTGGGGTAGTATAAATTAAATAAACAAACAAATAAATAAAACCAGGTGTGTGAGGTCCTTGCTTATTGGGGAGACTGTTTCTCCTTTAAGCATACTCTGTGTACATGAACGTAGTAGTTTTCCGCTGCCACCAGGAATTAACAATTCCAAATCTCTCTATTTTGGGAACTTCAGAGGACTATGTGGCCCCGAGGAAGGACTATTCTGATTGCTGGGATAACTTTAAACAAAAACTGATTTATTTATAAAGAACAAAACAGTTTTCTGGTTATTTTGAACTGTTGCTGAAGAAAGGTACTTGTAAATATAACTGGCAAAGTTTGGCATCACAAACAATCTCTCAAATTCCCAAACTCCACTCTGACAGGCTTAGACACTCAGTCTAATCTCTCTCTCTCTCTCTCATATATATAGCCACACAGGCTAAACTGTTTGTCTTATTCACACAGAATAGATTCATCTCTCATAGTCACACAGGCAAAACTGTTTCTTGTATTCACACAGAATAGATTCAAACTCTCATAGTCACACAGACTATGCTCTCTCTTCAAACTTCACACACAGAATCCCCTCATAGACATCTCTCCTCCCATACTCTCAGTCATCAGCCAGTCACATCACACTTGTCTCCCTCTTATCACTCTTCTTACATTACTGCCGTCAAACTCAACATTTAAAGAAACACACACACCAAAACATGGAATCATTACAGGGGGCTCTGGGAAAGGTGTCGGCAGGTTCCATGTCGCCCCTGGGCACCCCGTTGGAGACCCATGCTGTACGTGCTTGTGCAGGATTTACACTTTGGTGGGTGTTCAGACAGGCCCAAGCAAGCAGCCGTATCGGGGAAGGGGACGCGATATGCAAAGTGTCGCCGATCAGAGAGGACCCAGCTGGTCTCTTTCTTTCTGCCCTGCCCCTCCCGTCCCCTTCTGCCTACACAAATGCACTCCCGGTCTCATCCTCCCTCTCTCCTCCTCCGTTGCAGTCTGGGAGCTTCCTCCCTCAAGTGCTGGTCTGCCGTTCCAGTGCGCTGGGCCCATGCGCCACGAGTGGTCCACGGTGAACTCAGCAAGCTTTCGCGGTCGGTGCAAGCCTTTGTGGAGCACGGCGCACAGCTCTGCCAGCCGGAGAACGTCCACATTTGCGACGGGACCGAGAAGGAGAATGTCAAAATCTTAAACCTGCTGGAGTCGGAAGGCGTTATAAAACCCCTGACCAAGTATGAGAATTGGTAAGTGCCTCTGTTGGCTGACTGTGGGTGGAGGAGTAGTGAAAGAATGCAACAGAGCACATCAGAGCTCGGGAGGTGGTGGGCTTCTCCTTCTTTGGGGTTTTTCAAGCAGAGGCTCCACGGCCATCTGACAGCAGTGCTGATTCTGCGAGCTTAGGCAGATCATGAGAGGGAGGGCAGGAAGGGCTGCATCAGTGCGCAGACTTTAATCTGGGAGAGCCGGGTTTGATTCCCCACTCCTCCACTTGCACCTGCTGGGTGACCTTGGGCGAGCCACAGTTCTGTCGGAGCTGTCCTTGAAAAAGAGCAGTTTCTGTAAGAGCTCTCTCAGCCCCGCTTACCTCACAGGGTGTCTGTTGTGGGGAGGGGGAAGGGGAAGGAGTTTGTAAGCTGCTCTGAGACTCCCTTGGGTAGTGAAGTGCGGGGTATAAATCTAATCTCCTCCTCCTCCTCTTCTTTTTCTTTCTCGTGGCCCTTTCTTACACGCCCAGGGAAATGCTGATTGCCACCTTGGGGTCAGGAACAGTGTTCCCTATAATCTGAGTTAGTGTGAGCTAGATAACAGTTTTTCAGCCTCCGGCTCACACATTTTTGTCTTGCTGGCAACTGTATGGCATTGTTTTGAAATAATAATAATAATTATTATTATTATAATAATAAATTGATTTAAAAAAGAAGGATGGCTCCAGAGCAAACTAACTGATGCAGCAACCAAATCGTTTGCTCACAACTTTAATGCCAGAAGCTCACAAAGTAGAATTTTTGCTCACAAGACACCACAGCTTAGAGGGAGCACACTGGTCAGGAGGCAGTTTTTCTCCAGGCCCATTTGGCTGGGGATCCTGGAGGGGGGGTTTTTTGGTCATCTTCTGGGTGTGGAACAGCAATCACTGGGTGTTGGGGAGGGGAGGCATTTGTGGATTTCCTGCCTTATGCAGGGGGTTGGACTAGATGACCCTGGAGGTCCCTTCAAACTCTATGATGCTATGAAGCTACCTTATAGTGGATCAGACCCCTTGGTCCACAGAAGTCAGTATCGTTCACTCAGAGTGGCAGCAGCTTTCCAGGGTGTCAGGCAGATAAAGGTCTTTGACATCACCTTGTGCCAGATCCTTAAGTGGAAAGCCAGGGATTGAACCTGGGACCTTCTACGTGCCAAGCAGAGGCTCTTCCACTGAGCCATGGACCCACCCCCTTATTAATGGATAGCCTGCAGTGCCTCTTGGGAGCGCTGTAGGGAGCCACCTACTGGTGAACATTTACATGCCACGGTGGCTCAAGTGGTTAAGACGCTGAACTGCAGGCTGTGGAAGGTCGGTAGTTCAGCAGTTCGAGACCCGAGTGTGCTGCATGACAGAGTGAGCTCCCGTCTCTAGTTCCCGCTCCTGCCAACCTAGCAGTTCGAAAGCAAGAAATTGCAAGTAGATAAATAGGTACCACTTCGGTGGGAAGGGAACAGCGTTCCGTGTGCCTTGGTGTTTAGTCATGCCAGTCACATGACCACGGAAATGTCTTCGGACAGCGCTGCCTCTTCAGCTTTGAAACGGAGATGAGCACCGCAACCCTAGAGTCGGATTCGACTGGCTTTCGAGCAGGGGAACCTTTACCTTTACCTTTATAGTTGTGCGGGCTGTGGTGGCCCAAGTGGTTAAGACGCTGTGCTGCAGACCGGAAGTTCGGTAGCTCAGCATTTCGAGACCCGAGTGCCGCGTGATGGAGTGAGTTCCCATCTCTGGTCCCAGCTCCTGCCAACCTAGCAGTTTGAAAGCAAGAAATTGCAAGTAGATAAATAGGTACCACTTCGGTGGGAAGGTAGTGGCGTTCCGTGGGGCTCAGCGTCTAATGCCAGACACATGACCACGGAAACGTCTTCGGACAGCGCTGGCTCTTCGGCTTGGAAACGGAGATGAGCACCGCATCCCTAGAGACGGATTCGACTGGCTTTTGAGCAAGGGAAACCTTATAGTTGTACCTCGGTGCCCTCAGTCTAGGGAACGTTACCTCCAAGCCTGTAGGTGTAACAAGAGTCGCTCACTCGCTTTTTCTCCCCGTAGCTGGCTGGCCAAGACTGACCCTAAGGATGTGGCCCGTGTGGAGAGCCGGACAGTCATCGTGACGGAGGACCAGAGGGACACGATACCCGTCCCTGCTTCAGGAGTCAAAGGACAACTGGGCAACTGGATGAACCCAAAGGCATTCCAGGAGGCGATGGATGACCGTTTCCCCGGCTGTATGAAAGGTGAAAAGGAGACCAGTTAAGGGTGATGCTCCCTCCAAGCTGTGGAGACTCATGAGCAAAAATTCTGCTTTGTGAGCTACTGGCATTAAAGTTGTGAGCGAGCGATTATGGCTGCTGCATCAATTAGTTTGCTCTGGAGCCCTCCTTCCTGAGCGAAGACAAAAATGTCTGAGCCGGAGGCTAAGAAACTGTGAGGTAGCTCACACGAACTCGGCTTAGAGGGAACACTGGTCAGGGGTGCGGCGACTGTGATCAGGGGCCTTCTTACCTCTAGGGAATGATCATTCCAATGGGGAACCCAGTTTGGGGGGGTCAGGCGAGAATTGCGGGGAAGGAGTTCATGAGCCCAATTGTCTAGCCATGTGACTTAAATGGTCATCTCTCTTATTTCTTTACACCTTTCCATATATATATATATA